GCAGCTCGCGGAGACCGCAAGGCGGCGGCGGAATGCGGGGTGGCGGCAGCGCGCCCCCATGCACCAGCACCCCCAGAGGCACCGACTGCCAGGGCAGCTCCAGCGCGTCAGCCCCTCGGCTCCCCGCCGCGCCCAGCCTCGCGTGCACGTCGGACCCAGACAGCTCCACACGGCCGGCGCGCCGGTGCCCGAGGAACCCGACAGGGGTGAGGTTTGAGATCGACTTGAGGGAAACTGCTAGGGGAGGGAGGGGCATACCTCGTCACCGAGGGTACCTGCACGATCGGTGTTTATATACCCAACCCTTAATTGTACCCCACATCTTTATAAGAAATTAATAAATTAAAAAAAAAAAAAAAGATCGAGACACCGACGGCGCTAAAAACACCGGGAAGGATTGATATGCCAGCCACGTTTCCCGCACTGCTTTATTCCGCCCACCACCCCCTTTTGTTCTTTTGTTCTCACGCCCTCCTTTCCGCCTTTCCTAAAGTCTTTTTTCCTGAATGGGAAGAACGTCAGTTTCAAAATTCTCGATTCACCATGGAGTACTGCTGAAGGGAGAATCAGACAACAGGAAACGGAAACCGGGTTGGTTGGTTCTTCAAGGGGTCTAGAAAAGAGACACAGAGATAACACTGCACACCTAGATTATAAGTGATCTTATGAGAAGTCCCTCGGCTGCATTTCTGGCATAGGTGGCTGAAGAACCAGGATTTTCAGAAGAGCTGTGCCTCTAAAGCTGGGGTTCTTAACCTTTTGGGAAAGTGGACTCCTTATAAATCATGATCAAAGCTAAGACCCTTCTCCCAAGAAAAGTGCACACACACACAAACTGCATACAGTTTCCTTAGGTCCAGAGCTTCCTATAGCCCATTATTGAAATCGAGGCCTAGAAGTAAGGCTATACATGATCAGTGTCTGTTGCACCCTCTCCTCTTCTTGTATTGCAAGTGACTCAGTCTCAGTTCTTTCTCTGGCTGCTATGACACCTGACGTTGACTCTCCAGGGCAAAGACACCCCATTCTCACTGATTTAAATTAGGAATGAGTAGCCTAGGTGAAGGAAATCTACACAGTATTTTATTTAAGTACTCTCATTTTATTATTAAGTACTCACTTATTTAGTTTAATATTGGCCTATAATTTCAAGTCCAGGCAACCAAATATTAGCAAAAACAGCTAAAAGTAGAAAAATCAAATGGGCCAAATTTTAGTAGCATTTAACGGTTCAGCATTCCTGGGCACCCATTTTATACAGAGATAAAGATGGTTAGGGTTAGACACACAGTCTCTGCCCTGGACAAACTGACACCTTTCTTTCTTCTTCCCATTTATATTCCTCACTTGAGAGTTTGTAGTCCTGCTGACGTGTGACATGTGTAGTTGCAGTTCTATACAATGGTAAAGAAAACCTCTCCTCTGGGACCTGTTGTCATATGAGGATTTCCCCCAGGTCTCAAGGCTCCCTACGTCCAGCCTTTGGTGTTCCAGTTTCAGCAGTTGGTAAGTTCTGGAGGGCACTATTGCCAAAGTCTGCATCTTCTTCCCAAACTTCCAGGGCCAAGGGAAAGACTGAGCTACACAGCACCTCCCACATTCAAGGAGCATGTGACAAATGAAAATAACAGAGGTGAAATATCCAGTGAACCCAGCGAAGTGTGAGTTCTTTTTATTTATTCCATGTTGTTATTCCTGCTGCTTTAGTTAGAAATACATCATTTAGGGAACAAGTGAATTTTGGTGATTTAGTCTTTCCGGCATCATCAGAAAAGATGAAAGTCACCCTAAGTCAAGTCCCAACTTCTTTGCTTAAAAATGGAAAACAAGCATCCTCTGTCCTCTGAGGACAATAAGGAGAATAAAGACCATTTCTTCAATTGAAGGTATTCCCTTTATAGTTTTGTCCCTTGGGTTGTAATTTATTTATGTTTTTGTTTGACATTTGAAAGCTATATCTCGTATGATAACCCTCCACACATACCAAAATTACTGACTCCTTTACCTTCTTTTTATGTATGTGAGAGCCCAATTCTAAACCCTTGTAACAACAGTTTCTACTTCTTTTTGTGTTTGATGTTCCTGGTTTTAATAGTGTAATTTCTTTCAGCATAGTCATTAATTATGGTTAAATTCATTGATCTATGCATGCCTGGCAGTGCACAGATTGTGGCCAGCAATATGATGCAAGTGGAAGAACCACCCAAGTCTCCTGAGAAAATGTGGTCCAAAGATGAAAGTGTTGAACAGAGGAGGTCATTGGAGTGTGCTCAGAAGGCTGCAGAGCTTCGGTAAGAATGTGGCATTCAGCCGGGCTCGGTGGCTCAGCCTATAATCCCACACTTTTAGGAGGCTGAGGTGAGTGGATTGTCTGAGCCCGCGGGTTCGAGACCCGCCTGGGTAGGCGAGACCTCATCTGTACAATAAATCAAAAAATTAGCCGGGCGTGGTAGCGCGCGCCTATAATTCCAGCTACTTGGAAGGCTGAGGCGGAAGGATCGCTGGAGCCCAGCAGGTCGAGGCTGCCGTGGCCGGGAGCGGCCACTGCACTCCATTCTGGGCAACAAAGTAAGACTCCAACTCAAAAAAAAAAAAAAAAAAAGAATGTGGCATTCCATGCCTCAAATCATAATGAACTGAAAAAGTAAAGATTCTTAGATTCTTATTTACACCTTTCTTTTATCTCAGAAGAAAGGAGAATGTTTGGGATTAAATTTTATTTGAAAAGTAGACCCGGAGTCCCTAGTAGGTTAGGAAATGGATGAACCTCAAGGAGATGCTTATGTATCATAAAAGACTTGCAGTTTCACTTCATAGAAGGAAGACGGTTTCATTCTCATCACAAGATAGGAGTTCTCAGCCCTCTCTGTGCTTTAGTACACTGTAACTTTTTAAAAATAGACTTTATGTTTTAGAGACATTTTAGCTGCACAGCAAAATTGAACAGGAAGTACAGTGAGTTTCTGTATACCCACTGCCTCCACACACACACAGCTTCCCCCACTGTCAACATCCTATGCCAGAGTGGTGCATTTGTTACAATCAATGAACCCACACTGGCACATCATTGTCACTCACAGACCACAGTTTACACTAGGGTTCACTGTTGGTGTTGTACATTCTGTGGGTTTTGACAAATGGATAACGACACATATCCACCATTATAGTATCACACAGGATAGTTTCACTGCCCTAAAAATCCTCTGTGCCCCACATATTCACGTCTCCCACCTCCAACCCCTGGCAACCACTGATGTTTTTACTATCCCCACAACTGTGTTTTGCCTTCTCCACTATGTCATATAGTTGGAATTATATCATATGAAGCCTTTTTCAGGTTGGCTTCTCACTTAGAAATATGCATTTAAGGTTCCTCCATGTCTTTTCATGGCCACATGCCTTATTTGTTTTTAGTGTGCAATAACATTCCATTGTCTGTATGTACCATGGTTTATTTATGTATTTGGTCACTGAAGAATATCATGGTTGCTTCCAAGTTTTGGCAATTATGAATAAAGCTGCTGTTAACATCATATGCAAGTTTTTGTGTGACCATAAGTTTTTGACCTACAGACCTTTTAAAACTACAGATGCCTGGACCTCATCCCAGAGATTCTCTTTCAATTTTGGGGGAGCAGAGTTCAGGCAGTATAATTTTAAATATTTCTCCAGGTGATTCTAATGAGCAGCTAGGACTGGGAATCACTAAGATAGAGTGTAGTGAGCCTAAATCCTCCCTGATGTCTCTTTCAAACAAAGAAGAAAGCATGATCTCCTAGGTTCAGAAGTAATAATCTTCCTTCATGACCCCTGTCCATACTCACACCTCTCTAGTTTCTCTAAGGAAACAAGGCTTAGACATCATTTTTTAAACAGAGCTATTATCCTTTCTCAGAACACTGAGTTTAAAGTTAGTGCTCTATCAAATCAGCTGGTGTGAGAACAAATGACCGAAAGGAGATTATTTACTAGCGTGTACATATACTCCTTACTCATGGTTTGTTGTGAGGGAAATGGAAAGAAATGAAACAAGAGGAAGATGTTTTGGCTAGTGCACAATCAAGGGGAAAGGGGCTTAATTCTGTGCATCCTCTGACAATATTTTAGCACCTTCTTTTTTCTGCAGTGCTTCCATTAAAGAAAATGTAGAGCTGATTCGACTTAACAAGCTCTTACACGAAAAGAATACCTTATTGGTAGTGACGAAGGCACAATTAGCAGAAGTTCAAGAGGTGAGTTGCTATCATCAGCTGTGCTTTCTTGGGGAAGAATAGTCCAGTTAATTGAGAGAGATTCATATTATTTTCTCTATTTTACATATGGGAAACCACAGTTCAAAGAGACTAAGTTACTTGTCTAAAATCACACAACTTGTGATATTCAAATTCAAGCCTTACAATTTGGAATCTATTCTTTTCCCAATATTTCCCATTATTTCCCTACTAGGAAGAAGACTCAAGCTCTGCCTGCTAAGGTGGAGATAACTTATGTCAGTGTTAAGGTCCCAGCCAAGGGCCACCATCAATAGCCAAGAGCAGTCACAGAGTAAGAGAAGGAAACCAGCCTTTCCTGAGCACTTATTGTTTTTTTGAGTCTGAGTTTCATTCTGTCACCCAAGCTGGAGTGCATTAGCACCATAACAGCCACCACAGCCTCGACCTTCTGGGTTCAGACAATCCTTCCACTTTAGCCTTCAAAGTCTTTGGAACTAAAGGCATGTTCCACCACACCCAACTAATTTTTTGATCTACTGTAGAGACAAGGTCTTGCCATGTTACCTAGACTGGTCTTGAACCACTGGGCTCAGGCAGTCCTCTCACCTCTGCCTCTCAAAGTTCTGGGATTACAGATGTGAACCACCGCATCCAGCCTCCTAAGCACTTTTTATGAGCTGGATTCTGTTCTGAAAACTTATAGTCGTGATTTTTTTTTTTTTTTTTGAGCCAGAATCTCACTGTCAACCAGACTGGAGTGCAGTGGCACGCTGCTCGCAGCCACTGCAGCCTTGAGTTGTTGGGCTCAGGCGATCCTTCCACCCCAACTTTCCAAGTAGCTGGAACTACAGGTGTGTGCCACCACGCCCAGATAATTTCTTGATTTATTGTAGAGACGAAGCCTCACCAAGTTACCCAGCCTGGTCTCGAACCCTGGTCTCAGGCAGTTCTCTCACCTTGCGTCCCTAAGTGCTGGGATTACAGGTGTGAGCCACCATGCCTGGTTGTATAGTCAGGATCTTATTTAAGCCTGACAACAACTCTAAAGGTGAGTACATTTTAGCAGATGAAGGAACTATGTCTCAAAGAAGTTAAGCAACATGCTCAAGTCATAAAAGGTAGTAAGGGGCAGGATTTGAGACCAGGCTGCCACCAAAGTTCTTTTCTCAGTATCACACATTAGAAACTAGAATCTGGGCTGGGCTTGGTGGCTCAGCCTGTAATCCCAGCGTTTTGGGAGGCCGAGGTGAGTGAATTGCCTGAGCCCATGGATTTGAGACCCACCCGGGCAACTTGTCGAGACCTTATCTCTACAATAAATCAAAAATTAGCTGGGCGTGGTAGCACACACCTGTAGTTCCAGCTACTTGGAAGGCTGAGGCGGAAGGATCGCTGGAGCCCAGCAGGTCGAGACTGCGGTGGCCGGGAGCATGCCACTGCACTCCAGTCTGGGCAACGGAGTGAGACTCCAACTCAAAAAAAGAAAAGAAAAGAAACTAGTATCTGAATGGTGGAACTAGGGCACCAAGGGTCAAAGTAATAGGTCAGCATCATTCCTTTATTGAACACATATTTATTGAATAACAGGAATTGCAAACCACTGGGATGCAAAGATTACAAAGATAAGTAAAATAATGCTTGCCTTCAAGGAACTTGTAGGAGTGAGAGAACAGTGTGTAAACAAATTCAACCATCTATATGTAGGTTATGGGGGATCACAAAACAGTAGTCAGACCCAATAGAGGGTGGAGTGTAGGATCAGAAAAGGATTCATAGGCCAGTCACAGTGGCTCACACCTGTAATCCCAGCACTTTGGGAGGTCAAGGTAAGAGGATCACTTGATGTCAGGAGTTTAAGACCAGCCTGGGCAACACAGAGATCCCATCTCTACAAAAAGAAGAAAAATTATCCAGGTATAGTGTTGTGCACCTATATATAATTTAAGCTACTCAGAAGGCTGAGGTGGGAGGATCACTTGAGCCCAGAAGTTCGAGGTTGCAGTGAGTTATGATCTGCACCCCAGCCTGGGCCACAGAGCAAGACCCTGTCAAGAAATAAGGGGGGGGGGCCAGAGAGAGAGAGAGGGAGAGAGAGAGAAGGATTCATCATTAAAGGAATAGATTCATGAGCTAAATATTGAAAGATTCACAGGTTTTAATAGGTGTGCAAGAGAGAGAAGGGACCAGGTCAAAGAAGTACTAGGAATTTCTTTTCTTGGTGTCATTGAAGATGGAACATACTAGGAATTTAGACTTGATCCTATAGACAACAGAGAGCTGTGGAAGGGTTTTAAGCAAGTCAATAACATGATCAATTTTTTTTTTTTTTGAGTTGGAGTCTCACTCTTGCTGCCCAGGCTGGAGTGCAGTGTCATGCTCACAGCCACCACAGCCTCTACCTGCTGGGCTCAGATGGTCCTTCTGCCTCAGCCTTCCAAGTAGCTGGAACTACAGATGCATGCCACCAAGCCCGGCTAGTTTTTGTGATTTATTGTAGAGATGACATCTTACCAAGTTGCCCAGGCTGGTCTCAAAACCACGAACTCAGGCAATCCTCTCATCTTGGCTTCCCAAAGTGCTGGGATTACAGACTGAGCCACCGAGCCCAGCCTGATTAATTTTTTAATCTCAGAAAGATCACTTTTAAAAATGTCTGAAATATGTTGATGATAGATGAAGAAAGAATACTTTTGAAGAACTATTGTAAAGCATTATTATTAATTCTCAGTAGTAGGTTTATAGACGATCATTGTTATAGTCTTTATGCCTTTCTGAAATCTCCAAATTTCTCAAAAATTAAAAAAAAAAAAAAGGAAAGATAATTCTGGTGGTGGCAGAACGAATGATAGGTTGGCTACTGTAAGACTGGAGGCACAAAGATCAGGTAGAAGACTACTGTAGGGGTTGAAGGAGGCAGGACGAGGGTCCTAACTAAAGCAGTGAGAGAGGGCTGCAGAAAAGGTGACCTTACTGTGAAAGGTTCAGGAAACAGAAGAGTAAGCTTCATCACCAAAGGGCTGAGGGAGTAGGGGAAAAGGAGAGATGAAAGATGACTCCTGGGTTTCTGGCTTGGAACAATTGCAGTGGTGCAATTTATTGAGATTGGCTCTGGCTACAGTTAACATTGCCCTTGGTGTATAGACATCTGTTCTGATAAGGGCTACAGGACCTTTATAAGGCTAACAACCTCCAGGCTTAGGTTTTGGAGAGAACTATGCATATGCTTGGATTCCTTTAATCTGGCTAATCTTGCTAGCATTTAAAGGATATGAAGATATGAGAAGGATTGTTGGTGAATGACTATTTTTGCAGAATTGGACTTTCTTTAAAAAGTATCTATATTTACTAATGCTTTAAAGGAAAAAAGGAAGAAAGCCATTTAAAATTTAATTTCCTTATTCACATTAGTGGCAAGAAACACTAGTAGAGATAACCTCAAATGGTGAATAATCACTCGTAATTTTAAAAAATAAAAACAGAGATGATCTCTCAGTGTTTTGCTGTAGATTAAAAAAAAATAGAGATGGGATCTCTCTATGTTGCCCAGGCTGGTCTTGAACTTCTGCCTTCAAGTAATCCTCCCTCCTCGGCTCCCAAAATGCTGGAATTACAGGCATGAGCTACCATGTCCAGCCATGGATAATTTTTTTTTTTTGAGTTGAAGTCTCACTCAGTCACCCAGACTGGAGTGCAGTGGCCACTTCCGGCCACCACAGCCTCGACCTGCTGGGCTCCGGCGATCCTTCCGCCTCAGCCTTCCAAGTAGCTGGAACTACAGGCACGCGCTACCACGCCTGGCTGATTTTTGATTTATT